ACGTTCATCGTAGGAATAATTACAGATGTACGCTCACTTACGCTTAACGCTTAATGTTTAACGCTTAACGCTTAGTCGTCTTTCAATTACTTACAAAGGAATTCGATCTTGAACGTTTCGCGGCTTATGTACAAGAGAAAGGTAGAACTCGAAATATCTAAGGGATTAGCGAAACGATTCGCGATCGTGAATCAGGAGACTTCCTCGATCGACGAGTTTTCCGTTTTACGATCATCTTTTCCCTTAACCCTCGATCGATCGATCCTTCGTCATCGTAATCGTACTTTATCTTCATCGTTCAATCTTTTTCCTTCGAACTCGAAACGTTTCGAAATTACAGAATAAATTTCGATCGGTACCCGATTCGACGCTGTCCTATTTGCGACTTCTGTCTTGTCGTTCGGTCGTTCGCTCGGGGGTCAATCCTGATATCGATCAACGCTATTATATTTATGCATGTATTCATGCGTGTGTGTATGTACCTACATAATCTCGTTAACGAGTCTCCTGCGGGAATTTCAGGTAAATTTCGCGATTTTACACGCGGTTTCTTCCATATCGTTTGTATACGTACAACGATCAACGAATTTTTTTTTTTTTTTTGCGGATGGTTGTCGATGCTTTGAGCACCTCGTATACTGTCCAAAGAGGTCTTTACATTCACACGTGTTTACATTCGTCGATTTGACGCACGATTTTAGCGTCACGGGATGAACGATAGTCGGGAAACAGTTGGGGAAAAAGGTTCGGAAAAACGCAGGAAAAGGGAATGAATCGGTCGAGCCGCGAGAGGAAGATTTCGTTCGTGTTTTGGGGTTGCCTTTCGTTTTTTATCTCGGTTTTATCCTTGATATTCAGAACTAATTGGAATTTAACGAACCAAACTGAATAGAAGGAGGTGTCACCTTCTTTTTTTTTTCTTTCTCCTTTTCATTAATTTCACCTTGTTCTTAGAGTTTTCCTACCTTCTTCGCATCGGTATCTTTCTTGCGTCCCCCTTCCCTTCCCTTCTCTATCCGTTCTCTCTGTCCGTTCCCTCTTCCTGCCTTTGCTCTCTACACTTTCCAGTTCTTTTGCAATCGTCTTATTGTTTTTAACAACTGGGTATTGCTTTACAGTACGAATAAACTGTCATAAGGCACTTTAATCTGCATTGCAAATATATATGTATAGAGAGAGAAAGAGAGAGAAAGAGAGAGAGAGAGAATGAATCGTTAAGTTCGGCTGTGAAATACGAAATACGTAAAGAAAGCATCGAGGTTGATCGATGAGGAACGAAATAATACCTATAAGCGCGTGGAGAACGTGTATAAACGTATTTTCTATTCAACATAGGAGAGAAAGCCGCGGAAAACCTCCAATCGTTAAATCATAGAATGGTTCGTAAATAAAAGAAACTTTAACGTACGGGTATATACAAGTTGTGTTCACGTTTCTACGTGTGGTTCAGTGTCAACGCCTATTTTGAATCGTTCATTATTTCTATGCCTCTTCCTCCTACCGTTTTAACCCGACCGATTTCACGCCTTTCTTTTTTCTTCTCTTCTCCGCTCCGCAATCGTCGTCTGAATCGGTAGATCACGTTTTTTTCGTTACTTTTGCAGGATTGATCTATGCGAATCGATTCGTTTCGAAACACAGCATCGGAGAACACCGATCCAGATGACGATTAATGTCGAGTAGAATTTTTCAATTGAATCACGTATCAAATTTTCTACGTTCCACTGTTCTTCTTCGTTCGATTATTTTAGCACCTCTAAAAAGTTTCGTTAAAAAGAAAACAGTAGACTTGGTTGCTCTCGGCACTAGTATCTGGGATGAAACACATCGATTCGATTATTTGATTCGATCATCGATCGTATCGCTTACGCATTATTATCATTATCTTTATAGTTATCATTATTGTTACTATTACTATTACCGTTACCGTTACCATTACTACTATTATTGTCATTTTCGCTATTATTGTGGTTACTGTCGTAATAGTGTTAGTAGTAGTGGTAGTAGTAGTAATTAGTAATAGCAGTAGCAGCGATAGCAGCGATAGTATTAGTGGTAGCAGTACCTCTTGCCCATCGTCGTTGTCATCATTATTGTTTTTATTGTTATCAGTATTATTGTTTTTTTTATAACTGCGCTTCTTTCCATTTTCTGTACTCGGAGAAATAGTTTTTAGAAAAAATTAAGCAACAGCAATTATTCATTGCTAACCAGACCAGCAACGATGACGACGATGATAATTGTAGGTACTGGTTATAATAGCAATAGTCTTAATAGTAGTAATGTTAGAATTAGTGTTATTAATAGTAGTGATGATAATAATAGTAGTAGTAATAGTAGTAGTGGTAGTAGTAGTAGTAGTAAGTAGTTGTAGGAGTGATATTAGTAGTAGTAATAGTAATAGTAGTAACATCAATAATGCTATTAATAGAATCAGAAGCATTATCAACGATAGCAGAAGCAGCAGAAGCAGTAATTTTAGTATTAATATTAACGTTAACATTAGTGTTATTACTAGTATTAGTATCAATAATGGTATTAATATCGATAATAATATAAAAATAGTCATAGTAATGGTAGTAGAAGTAGTAGCAAGTGTAAGAATAAAACTGGTTGTGTTAGTAGTAGCAGTCTTAGTAGTAAGAATACAATTATTAATATTATTGTTGTTTTTTTATTTATTATCAATGATGGTGGTACTAATAGTAGCAGCAGCAGTAGCAGCAATAGCAATAGTAGTAGTACTAGTGGTAGTAATAATAGTAATAATAATAATAATAATAATAATATTGGTAGTAATGTTAATAGTAATATTATTCTTATTCTTATTCTTATACTTTCCACCGTTATTATAATCGTAGAAGTAGTATTAATAATAGAAATGGATGGTAGTAGTTTGTTGTAGTTAATAGTAGTAGTAATAGTGGTGATAATAATAATAATAGTAATAGTAGTAGTTAGAAGTAGAAGTAATAGCGATAATAGCAGCAGCAGTAATAGTAATAGTAGTAGAAATATTATTAATAATAATAGTAGTAGTATTACGGATTGTGGTCGTAGTAGCAGCAATAGTAGTAACAGTAATATTAATATTAGTAATAGTAATAACTGTAACAATAGTCGCCGTAAAAAGAGAGAATAGAATAGGTTGCGGAAGAAGAAGAGATAAAAAGGAACAAGGAGAAAATTTCCTTAACGATATTAGAAATACAATTGCTTAAATTTCTTTTAAATATTACTTTTGGACGCAATCAATTTTTTTTGGCTAAATGAACGACGAAACGGTGGATACTTTGACTCTCCCTCTTTTCTTCGATGTGATTCAAATGAAATTCTATTTTTCCAATTCTCGTCAATTTTCTCTCAATTTCTTGTTAATTGAAAATTTCATTTTTCCTTTCTCAGTGGTATAAATAATCGAACTATCCTTAAAAAACGAACCACAGAAGGCTCGTTCATCTCATCCCTTAACGATTATCCAACCGTTTTCGCCGTCACTTCTGTTACCTGTTTTCTTTTTTGTTCGTTTATTCGTTCAAGTACTTAAGCTTTATCGTTACTTTAATGGTTAAATTTAATAGTGATGCGATAATACTTTAATAAGGCCCAATAAGGCTGCGTGGGTTTTGCGAACCGTCCCACGGTAATACAAAGTACGACTTTAGCGTTAAGAATTACCACGTGTTACTTTTTTCCTTAATTAACCGCCTAACTTTTTTCTCTTTTTCTTTTTTACTTTTTCTTTTTAAACATTTTTATAGCGCGATGCCTCGCATCGAGTTCATTACACGCGAAAAAGTGTCGGACTTTGTCCGTTAAAAGGAAACAAGATTTTTCACTTTCGCGTCTCGTACGAATTACACTTTCAAGTAGCGAATATTAACGAAACTTTGGGAGAGAAAACGTGTGTACTTGTACACGCTAGCTTATACGTATATAAAAGAATGATCGCCTCGACTGTCGAGACTTTTTTTTTTTTTTTTTTTTTTCAAGACTTTCGATTAGTTATTGTCACCTTGTATTGTTCATTATTAGCAGCTTATACTTTTCTTATGGAAATTCTCACTTTCGCACAATTTTTAATCGCGTTACGTCTCTTGCGTGCGCGTCTCGAATTATTCTCTTTCCTATTTATTTTAATTCGTTCGAAAGAGTATCGGGGGAACACTTGATTTTCTTTTCTTTTCTTTTCATTTTTTTTTTTTTTTTTTTTAACGTGTAGTTGCCGAGTACACGTGTGTAAGTACGTATGTAATGTGTATGTGGGTGTGTCGAGTTAGGTGTGTAGATGGTGTGAGTGTGCTTAATTTGCGTTCAAAGAAGTATAACTTTTGAAACGTTCTTAAAATATACGTGGTAGCGACGTGGGCGAACACGTGTGATACTTGTATATTTTTTTTCTTTTTCTTTATCATTTTCTTTCTATAGATGGACGGTGGAATTAAAATGGTTATCTGAAAAATACATCGAAGAATTTCTTTATCGACGATAAGAATTTGAAAAGTGTATATATAAAAAAGCGCGAGAAAAATCCGTTGGACAGATCATTGACGAACCGCGTATTGTCATTGTGTATTTTATAATTATTGCCTATTTATTTACGTCGCAAAAATCTGTCACGCGTAACGCGTGCTTGCAAGTTTATCGACGTTTTTAATCGGGTCGTTTTTATTCCGGAATTTCGCGACTCGTTTTCGAAACTTATACACGCATGCGACGTCTCTCAATCTCAATACTCACTTGCATCGACTTTTACACATAAACGCCATTGATTATTTACTCCGTAAACAATAATAATCTTTCACTTGGCTTTTTTGAACTCTTGAATTAGCCCCGTACCCACCCCAGCCCACCCAACTTTGCCCTTATACCCACCCGCCCGTCCCTTCTTGCGTTAAATGCACCCTCCCTTACCTTTCTATTTAGATTTATATTCATATTTATATCTATATTTATATTTATATTTATATTCATATTTATATTTATATTTATATATATATATATATTTATATTTGTATTTATATTTCATGTACCTACGTGTACATACAATTTTAATAGTACTTTTCTTCTTCTCTCTTTAACTTATTAAATCATTAATCGATACTTTCATACATTCCGCATAAAAAACAAGGCAATCGGATTGAGTTTGATCGTTTACACGTTATCCTTACACCCATCTTTAAGTATTAGTCGATTGAATCACCTCTTATGTCCGCTTGCGTTCACGCTCGCGCATTTCTCTACCTGTACATGTATTGTATATGTATTATACATACGCGACACATGTACAGGTATATGGATAATTGATGTATACATAGTATATATATGTGTATATATATATAGTCTCTTTTACTTTCATCAATTTTTACGTTCTACTTTCCTCTTTTCGTCGCGCAGCTAATAAGAAAAGATTAAGCTCTTAGTAAGAATACTCTTAGTAATTTTTCTGCTTTCATACACGTATTTTCTAACTCGTTTATTAATTTCCACCCTCTACTCTTTACCTGCATTCTCGTCCGATCACTACCTCTATTTCACCTTGCTCTAGCGACGCGGCACTTTCTATTTTCCTTAGACATTCGTCGAATTCTAGCTGAAAAGCGGAGGAAACTAGATTATCTCATCGACGGGTGTTCGATGGACCGTCGGTTGATCTAGTGTCGTCTAAAACCGACGGTCGTTTAAAACGTCCTCCCGTCTGGTCGTACTTTCTCGATTGTCCATATTATTGGCGTCGCGTCGCGTTGCGTCGTGCCGTGCCGTTTCGTTTCGTTTCGTTTCATCGTAATCGGATTGCCGACGATCGAGAATCCGTTGTAAGGTAGAAAATTGCTTTTGGACCTGATTCGAGGACACACGGATCGTTTTTCAAACGTACTCTGACCGTGTCTGTATCTCCGTAATACTAGGAACGAACCCTAAAGGAAACCGGATCGAGGCTTGTCTGGGAACGTGCCGAAAATCGCGTAACACGAGCCCCTTAGACCGGTGGTGGCTCGGCGTAAGGGTGGATCGCGAAGGGTCGATAGAGGTGCGGACACGATTGAAACCGTTTCTTTTTCTTTCTTTTCTAATACACGCGTAACTCGGCGTAACTCGTTCGAAAAAGTTTCGTACTAGGTATACATTCGACGAACGCGGAAGAAAACGGTAGGTGGTATATATGTATAGAGAAGGTTTCGATTGGAACACGAAAATCGAGGGTAATATTCGATGGTAAAGCGGCGCGAACCCTTCGTTTCGTGGTAGAGTATCGAGGAACACTTAGGGACATCCGCATTCGTCCACCACCATCTTTGGTAGATCCCTTTTGATGATGTTCGAATCGGGGCCGTAATAGATTAGCGACATCGGCGAGAATTTTAGTGGGGCGCAACACGGTTGCATACCGGCCAGTCGATCCATCTTTCGGTATTCCTCGATCACGTGGGTGTAGTAGTTTAGGAAGGTGTCCGGCGTTCTATGCCCCGTCGCGCAATCACCTCTGCAGTAGTTGGCGTAATACCTGCAAACGATGAAGAAATACACCTTCGAGTATTTAGTCGGTGTCGCTTTGCACGCTAACGAACGTAACGAGTATCGCGTTCCTTGTTCGACCGGGGTAAGCCTTAGATGACTACGCAATAATTGCTTGCAAGTTAAGGGTTTAGGGACGTTGCACTTGTAAGCGACACTCCGATTTCACGGGATACCTTACGAGTGACTCTACACAGTCTACAGTCTACAACGATCGACGTCGCGACGGCTATCCGCTCCGCGAAAGTGTTGTCGTCGCGTGCCGTCGTCTAACATTCCTCTTCCTGCTCGTCATCGCGTGTTATTTCACCGACGACGAACAAGAACGAGGATCGCACGGTTGTAAATGAATTAGTAATCTTACCCCTGCGGAGCGATTATCCAGTCGTCCCAACCGAGCTGAGAAAAGTTCACGTAGAACCTTTGCTTGCAACATTGACCCTTTATCGCGCCGCTGCATTCGACCGCCCGTCTTCTCACTCTTTTCACAGCCGCTGGATCGGTGCGAACCACTAGGAACGGTCTGTCCGGGTCTTGTGTACCTGAAACAGGGAATCGTGGGATAAAATATGATCGATCAACGATGATCGAAAGGGATATTCACCTTTTGCGTTAAACGACGACTCGATCACGTGCGGGGAATGACCATTGAACGTCGATACGTGGACGTGCGAACCACATCCGGTACAATCGACTAACAGTGTCAATTTGTCTCTGCTCGTACCTTCGTTAGTCGTGTACCAACTGTTCACCACTCTGGTGACATCGAACTTTAGCCACCCCAATTGACCGATGTTCACACCTAGGGATGTGACCATTTCCAGATGTTGTCCGAGCTCCTACGAAAGCGTCTATCGTGAATATACTTGCTCTCCTTTTTATTTCTCTCTCTTCTTCATCTTTTTTTCCTCGACGGTATTTGTTTGAAGCTTCCCGATCGAGCGAAACCCGACAACCGTAGCCGATAATATCGAACAAATTATCGGTAAGGCGGCTTAAGATCGCGGTACGTTTTAATGGGATTAAATTCATATAAATCGGATAAAAGTGTGAAAGTCCTTCCTTTCTTTTCTTCCGTTCGGGTAGAAAAATGACCGGGGGAAAATCGGGGGATGGGAAACGATAATCGAATAATCAAGGGATTAAAGTTACCTTTCCACGCAAGTGCGTCATGTTGCCGCAGCGTACCCTGAATACCCACAGCGTAATGTTTCTTTGGTTCGTTTCGCCCTGGCGATGGTGTTGATAATGATGGGCGTGTTTGAATTCGACTCTCGCCCAAAGGGTTGCCCTCTTGATTTTCAAAGGTTCCAACGCTGGTTCCCCGCTGGACATCGGGAATTCCAGTAGCGGTTGTCCGTTTAACGTTCTTCCTGCAAATTAGACAAATTTCCGACATTCGCAATCAGCTCGATCGACCGTCGATTTCTTCCAAGTTTTAGATTTCTTTTTATGATAGCAGGGAAAGGGTGGAATGGCGGGTGTCGAAGGATATTCAATCGTGGGAGGAGGCTCGGCTCGATGAAATACAACATAGAGGAGAGAAAAGGTTGTTCGTCTGCAAACGTAACAAGAGATACATCGCGGCTATCGAGCAGGGTGTACGTGTGTGCGGGTAAGTTCACCCGCACGGATCTGCAAATATCCGCGATTGTGTGCGTACGTTGAGTGAAAGCAGGGCGGCTTCATCCCTTAACGGTTTGGTGAGTCACGGAGCGGGAGTCGTTGGAGGGGCGGGGATAAGCACGGGTTGTCTGCCGCCCGTCTGCCTTCCACCATCTCTTCCCCGCGACCCACCTACTATCCCTCTCTTTTCTTCCCTTTTCCCTCTTCTTCCGTTTCGTTTCGTTTCGTTCCGTTTCGTTTCGTTTCGTTCCAGTCCGTTCCGTTCCTTTCGCGTCTCTCTCCTTTCTTCCCCTTGCTCAATCTCCCCTTTACAACCCACCAACGCTATCACCCCATCCCCTTTCTACCCTTGCGCAACCAGCCTGCAAGCACTACCGACACCGACACCGACACCGACTCGATACGGGCACGGTCGAAGACTCTTTTACGAGAGCCAACGACATCCACACCCTCGCCGCAACTTCAACCCTCGACGAAAGAGCGCCGCGACGTTAACCACCAAGAGATTCCAACCTACCGGCCTGTTGGTTGTACACGCTTAACCCCTTAAGTATGGACCAACCGATATACGTGTATACGTACTTTTACATGCATAGAGAGACACGAGGATGCGTTTCCACGCGGTCACACATAGAACGAGTACCTAGAGTTCCCTCCTTACTCGTTTCTCTTTCTCGCCCGCTACTTTTATACACCCGGCAGACTTTCCGTATTCGCACCTATTCACTTTCCTCTCCTCTTTCGCGATCTTGCATCTGAATGTCTACCCTCACCATTCCGTAGGTACAAGCTTTCTCTGTCTACGTCGCTGTGTCATTATTGTAAGATCGCGTTGGCCGGAACAAATGGAACGGAAGTTTTTATCGCGTGATCAATATCGTCCGTCACGTATCGCGACGAGCGAGGTTTTGGCTCGCGGATTAGGAGAGCTGCCACGAGACTCCAGGACGTCGTCGTTTCTCGGTATCCTTGTTTCAATAAGACCGTCGCGTTCGTTCCCGTCCAGGATTTCCAGATAACGAGCCGGAGAAGTTGCTTCGAAAGGAGATAGATCATCGATCCTTTCGCGCCAAAAGCTACCCTTAGGAATCGGTGGAAATTTCTTAGACCCGTTTGTCCATTTCGAATATCTATATCAAGAATCTTTTTCTTCCCCTTTGTTCGACTCCTTGCGAATGGCACGATTTGCGTGGAATGAAAAAGCATCTTGCCATTTTCCTTTATTATCCCTCGAATTGAGACCATTCCGCGGATCAATTTGCGAAACGCAAAATTTTTACCAAACGCCGTTCCCCATTTATATACGTACGTATGCATAACAGTTGGACGGAGAGATTTAAATGAAATTGGACCGTGATACTTAGCGAACGTTCGATTAATCTGTTGCTCTTTGGCCGCGACGGGGGTGGAACGGCGCGACCCGTCGGCCCAATGCCGCCACGTTATTCCATCCCCGGTGGATGATTTTCATTTCGTTTCTCGAATTCGTAAGAAGCAGTCGCGACAGAAATTTGTCGTACGAGTTAATGGTCGCTAGCTCGACAACCGATGAATCCCGGAGGGGCGTCGTTCGACTTTCGTTCGGCCTCGCTCGAGTTTCGAGTGGATCGTGTGTCGTATACTTTTCGAGGTCGGTACATCGGCTACTTTTGCCCCTGCGCCGCAATGCGACACCACTCCGAATCTACATTCCCATTTTCTCGCGTTCCCGTCGCATCTTTCCGACCAGTTAATTTTACGCTCGAGACCGTCACTCGATCGAGCAACTTATCCGTGGATCGTATTCGATTTCTTTAATCCTTGCCATCCCGATTCATTACGATAAGCTGTCGCTTCTTTTTTTTTTTCGAAAGGTTTAGCCAGGTTGATCGGTTCGATCGATATAAGTTCGTCAGGGCGAAACGTTCACACGATCTAGGAACTCGAAATTCTGGCTAAAAGAGTTTTATTAAAATCGAAAAACGGAGAGAAGGAAATCGAACGTTGAACTTTCCGTGAACTTCCTCTGGTACCGCGTTGAATTAGCACTTGGATGTATAACGTGACCTCTTTAGTTATAGTCCCAGCCGACATTACGATTCCGTATCACCGTATTTCAGTTTCGATCAGTGTCTCCTTCGGTAATTTTCATTTTTCTGATTGCCCGGACGCCTCGTTTCTCCGACGATACTTTTCGTTCTACGTACGTTCGAAGGAAAGAGGAAAAACAGGGAAATTAAATGCTGATCGAGGGATTAAGAAATTAGAAAACAGGAATCTTCAGAGGATCCGGCGTCTCGATCTTGGATTGGATCGACACTGTGTAACGGGGGATGACGGAGTATCTATTTCTAGGATTTTCTCTTTTTCTCTTTCATCCTTCGGCTTTACACTTTCTTTCTCTTTCTGTATGTCTCTCTTTCGTATCTGGACGACTGCTCGTAAACGAGGTTAGCGCGATCGCGGTAGAATGTGCCCGTAAATTTGGTGCGGGAGCATGTCAGCGACGAAAAGAGGGGTCTCCTCGTCGCCAAGTCGTCCATTTAAGACGTCGCGCAGTATAGTAACGCGCTGAGGAAACCCGCTACGAATGAACAGAGCGACGAAAGGAGCGAGCGCACGAGGGTGGAGGAGAAGAAAAGGAAAAAGGAAAAGGGAAGACGGAAAGCAAGGGTAGATGCGAGAAAAAGGAGCCAACGGGGAGAAAAGGAGTGAGAGAGAGAGAGAGAGACGAAGATATTATTCTTAAGATAATGATCCACGGTGGCCAAGAAGTTGTCTGAGAAAAGGCAGCAACGTTACCGACTCTATCCACGCGGATGGACCGTGCGCCGCGACGCGCCGCGTCGTGCGTCGATCGAACCCGCCGACTAAACTAAATTGCACCAGCTAAACTGTAAGGTCAGATCGTAAAGAAGAAGGCAAGTGGGAAATCCATTTTGGCGAACGTCTCGAAACCATCGAACGTTCCTCTCTTTCAAACTTTCCAGCCGATCCCTCGATTTTCCTCGACTTTCCTCGAGCAACGACGATTTTTCGAAACACCAGACCGGAAGCTGCGAAAGATTCCCTTCGATATGGAAACGCGTCGACAGAGAAACATTCGTATTTTCTTAAAGAGAGGAGAGAAAAAAAATAGAGGAATCGAAAAGCGTTATCGCGCTGAACCGACGCGACGTACGATGAATAAACGAAGCAGCAACAAAGGACGAAAGAAAATCTTATTTCATCGTCCTGCAAAACGAGCCGGAGAAATGCTGAGGCAACCGCGTAGAGGGGAACGAGAATCTAGGATCGAGATAACGGCAGAGGTTTTCGCGAATTTTTATCGCTCGATGGACAAAGAAGAATCGGGCAAATAAATCGTAACATTTCGGGCTTGCGAAATTGGTCTACTCGGATTCATCAAGCAATTTCTTCTATCCGGACAAACTGGAAACGTTTCGTCGACGAAACATTCCAATCATTTCATTATATTTACGACAAGAACGTTGGTCTAATGAAATTCTGTTTGACTAATTTTCTCGTCGATTTTTCCACGGTGAATCGCGATGGTAAGTGTCTAACCCGAGAGTTTCTTCGACCTCGGTGCGAACCTAATTACGGAACTACGGTGAACGCGATACTGACGTGTTACTCTGAATAGTATCGCGATGTTTGCGCTGAGACCGGCGATATAGGTAGCTATTCAGGTATATCGTGCACCTTAGAGGGCCGGGGCTAGTGACCGTAATACGGTCAGTCAAATAAGAGGGTCAGATATAGCTTGTTGGTAACCCTGATCCAGATTTATCGCCACGTGGTCGCTCGCTAGGTTGCCATTCAAATCACGTGCCGCGATGCTGCTGTGTCCGAAATCTTCGTTCCACCGCTGTTTCTTGCTGCATAGTACACGCGTTGGAATGGCTACTACGCTCCGTTCAGGTGGGACGTTTTGAAAATTATTACCGGAACGGCGCAGAAGGTGGCGTTCGTTGAAAAATCGTGCGCGTTGCAAACGTCGCGTGCCGAGTTGCCACCTGAATCGTAAATCACATTGTCGCGGTATTATCGTGCATGCACGCGATACGTCGCGATACAGGTCCGCGAACAGCGATCTTTCCACTTTGTTGCATTTTAAAGTTTTCCAATAGTAATAGGGAAAAGCAACCTCGAAATAGGGAAAACTGGGCGTTTCCGAGGGAAGCAGCCGCGCCTCGTTGATGGAAGAAAAATAGATTTTCTCGAATGAAAAAAAAGTGGCCAGGTTCCTTTACGAAGGTAACAAGAATCGCGGGTAATTAACGCGACTAGCGTATCGAACTAAACCTCTCTTGTCAACGTTTTACAACGATCGGGGTGAAAAATGATGTTCGCCTCTCGAAGCTGGAGAAAATTCGATTTTCTTTCTCTTTACGGTAAAAAATGTCTGAAGCGAGCGCGCCAAGCCGGGATCGCGAAGATTAAACGGATCGAGTACACGGGGTTGGTGAACCGTAAAACTCACGCAGTTTGGACGTCGTTGGGTTACGCGATCGGTTAATATGCAGATCGAGATCTTCGCTGTGTGCCAGATAAACGATAAAAAATCAAGAAACCTCCGAGTGGAATGGGTATAAAGATAAAGAAAAGACGAGATAAGAAAAGAAATCTACGAAAGTACCTTCAAGATGAAGGATACGTATGTAAAGACGAGTAGAAATGGAGAAATAGAGAAAAGTAAAATAGCATATCGCTGAATTCTATTGTAGAGCATGTAGCGCGGCTGGATGAAGAAAGTCAAGAGAGAATAAAGGGGGTGTAGCAGGAGATGTACGAAGAGCGGCGCCCCGCTGGAGCCACGTGCATCGATCTGACTAGAGGCGCCAGCCGTCCTATCCGTCGGCTCGTTCGTCCATGAGTTCGACCCTGTCCCACTCCAACGCATCTCGAACCCTCCTATCCCGCTCTCCGAACATCCCGTCAGCCTCCCTGCTCCGATATTCCCACCCTATTCTTCCCATTCCCATTCCCCATTTCCCGTTCCCCTTGCCTATCGCTCTATCGCAACCCCTCGTGGCCATCTCCTCCTCTTCCTCTTCTTCTACTTCTTCTCAACCCTTTCCAATCTCTCTTCTTACACCAGGAACCCTTTGTCGAACGGCAGGACACAGAGAGAACAAGGGAGGATCTCTCCCTTTTCTTACTTTACTATCACCGTCTGGAAGGTCGCGTCTTAACCCATGCACGCGGGTTCGTCCCTTGGATTCAACCAGGTTGAACGAACTCGAACGCTTTGGTACACGAGTTTTCCTCGCGCAACGCAACTGCCGTTAAATCTCGCGAAATAAAACGCAACTACAGTTCTGACACTGAATTTCCGGATGTAACCACGCCTTTCTAGTCGAAGTTTAAACCGAATTTCCCGATCGTGATTATTCTTTTTGCCTAAGAATCTTTCAAAAAGGAAATTACGTATCTTTTGTTTCGAAGAAGAGAAATCGCGCGGAGGGTTGGTTGTTGTTTTGAAAATTACACGACGATCGATCGAACGAGATTGTTCGAGGTGTCCAGGGTGAAGGAGTTCGACCCTGTCCCGCTCGAAACTATCTTCAACTAGTTGTCGTCCTGGTTCGTCAGCCCCGATGTCGTGACCTTCCAAGACTTTCCAGTATCCTCGACGACCATCCATCGTATGCGCACGCGAATCCTCTTGATGCCCCGGCGTCAAGCTTCAGGGAAGGGGCTGGAAAATTCGTTTCGACACCGCCCGCGCCGCGGATACGCGAATCGATCGGGGGGATCAATAAACATCGGTTAGACTGATTGGGTTAGGTAAAACGATCGCTCGTCTTAACTCGGGAAATTCAAGGTCAAGGAAACGTCCCTGGGCACACTTTATCGCCGCGGATTTGGAACGGATTACCGAGGGTGTCGCGTTTAATGCGCTTCGAATGGCCGCGATTACGTCCCGGCATATTACTTAATCGAAGACTTACGCTCGTTTCAGTCGCGTCGGTAAACAGAACGGTGCTAATGAGATGCTGGGTGGAATTTTTAAGCCTCGCTTTTAACGAGTAGATTCGTGTTCTGTACCAAAAGAACTCGCGGTAGCGTTAAAAAGTAAGCTTTCAAAATGGAACCTTGCCCCGTGAAAAATACGCGTGCCTTGCCTTATGTAATGTCTTAAGGCACCCGCAGTGTTTCGCTGTTCAACTCGAACGTTGGTTAAACGCTTTATACAACGAAATGATTCATGCAACTTTAATGATTGAAAAAGGAAAAGGGAAGTATAAAAGGTAACAAAGAACGAAATTTATTCGTTTGAAAGCAGCTAAAGACTTCATTTCCCATAGATGAGAAGAGGAAAAATTTCGAGCAATCGTACGTTTTCGGGTGATGGAAATTGAAATTTTCGTGGCATGGAAATTTGTGCGCGCACCTAAGAGGAAACGAAGAACGAAAGGGACGGAGGAGGGTGAAAAACAAAGAGACCAGGACTCGACGGATCCATCTAATTAACCGGGGCAAATGATTGTTGGCAGAGCGTGTTGCGTGGGGCCGCCAGCCATGCGTACGGACAAGTTAGTCGTCCGTTTCCAGGCGCGACTATTACTACGCTTCTGCAATTCCCTGTCACGAGTAATGGTTTCCTCTCGTACATGAAAAACTCGTAGCACAATAAACCGCCAAAATTATGACCGCAGGCTTACGGCATCGGCGATGCTGATAGAATGGACCGGCAGATATGATGGTTCCGTGTGGACGGGGATAAAAGAGAGGAACGATTCGAGAAAAGAAGCCGGAAAACGAGGAAAACTGGCGGCAATGACAAAGCTGTTTCGCGACTATTCCATCTCTCAGCTTCTTTCTCGAAAATTTGCCAAATTTTCTGGGCGTTCGATTTTTCTAGCCCGAGGGGGAGAGAAAGGAAAACTTCTAAACGTATCCCGTCCGTGCGGATTAATCTCGCGCAATGCGACGTTCTCGTTCGGAACGAGTTTCACCGAAACGCGTACAGTTCAATTACTTTTCGTTTAAGACTTTTCCAAACTCGTTTTGCCACGTTTCCCTCAGGATATTCGTAATTAACTAAATTTGAACGAGGAGTTCCGCGTCTTTTCTTTACGTTTCTTCTCGAATTCGAGCGTAACGCGTGGAAACAACGGATCTCCCATCCGATGGTGAATCGATCCTTCGTAATTCCATCGTCTGTCGCATTAACGAAAAAAAAGAAAGTCCGTCGAACGAAAAGCTGGTAGCCCGTGCAACCAGGGGAATCAATATCGGAGAAGCGATGGTAGTTTATAGTTTCTTTAGTTTCTTCAAAAAGAATGACGTGTTCACCGGCTATCTATAGTGGAGGGCGACATTAACGTCGAAGTATCACGCATGCCGCATTACGATGCGGTCTCTGATACAACGCTATCAGAAAAGCCGTGCAAACACGAATTCGTGTACGCGAAATATTCCCTGGTCCACCGACACGACCTCTCCGAGCAATATTTCTCCTGGAATGGTCTGCTTTCGCGCGCGGCATCGATCTGCGGATTGGCTAACAAAAAGAACGATACGGGAGATGCGTCGAGATGACCAGAAATTCGAGTAAGCGAGTGAAAACTGGGGGAAAACACGATTTACCGATTCCTTTTCCGTAGAAAATGATCTTCGGTATAGAGGTAGACTGGTAAGGAAGATCGATAGACGACGCTCGGCGAAAAGAAAGTAGTAAATGATGGAATCTCGTTAAAGGCTCGTTAATTAAACCGTGGCGAACGTTAAGTAGGAATAGCGTGGCAGGAGCGTAAACGATCGCCAACATTACTGCTCACTCTCTACCGGCGACTAGCTCTATTACCCTCTTATCGTTAAACTTGGAGTTGCTGAACTACGGAACGAACTATAGACCGCTGTGGCGTGACACCCATGTCCGCGAGCCACGTGGCTCGAGGCGTGTGGCCACGCATGCATGCGAACCAAGGTGTCATTCGTGACGTTACCCCCTACGTACATCTTTCGCCTTCTCCCTCTGCCTAACGGCAAATTATCATTTTCTTTCGCGATTCGATCCGTTTCACTTTTGCGAGCTCGACCGGAGGGATGAAACGAATCGAATCACAGGTTTCTCGAGTAGCGTGCCTAGTGGAAAATTGCAAAAAATCGGCCCGATCGCGTTCCCCGTAATTCGGCTATCGATAAGACGAGGGATATTTCTAGGGATGAAATCGTTATTAAGGCGAAACTTACCGGGCTCGGCGAACGTGATAATCTCGGAGGTTCTCGCGTAGAAATCGTCAATCTCCTCCTGCGAGTTTTGAGCGTCGCGTTCTCCGTAGACTTGATAGGATGAACCAAGCCTGGAGTTGTCTTTAGCCGAACTCTCGGCTCGGTGATCGAGATTTTTATAGGAATACTCGTCGCCGCCGTAGAGAAAGTCCGGGGAATAGACGGTGTCATGGTCGTCGTTCGATCTGTCGGACGGATAACGTAACGAGGATTGTGCCTCGGCTCTGTAAAGTGTCTCGAGCGCCAAATGCCTAGGCACCGTGGCCAAAGTTCTGTTTACGTCCGGTCGCGTTCTAAGGCCGAGTTTAGTTAGTATCTGATGCTTGATCGCCTCCAATCTAAGATCGTCCGGGCTGGGCGCGGCGGTATCCTTCGAACCACCGCCCCGATTCGTCTCGTGAATATGCTGCTGGTGTTGCTGTTGATGCGGGCAACCGGGACAAGTATGATGATGATGATTTTGTCGCGGTTGTACAGGCGACAGTGTTAAACAGCAGAGCGCCAATCCTATGAGAAGCACGTTCGAAGGTAGCAGGGATCCTCTGTATCTGGAAAGGATACGAGGCGAGGAAGCCAATTGTGGGGGTTGTTGTACTCGACAGTATGGAGCTGTATCGATCGGTGGATCGATCGGAGTTTCGGCATCGGCGTATGTACCGGTGATATTACCGGCGTTTCTACGTCGACGACACTCGTGCGTCTTCTTCCGGAAGAGCCTCTCGTTTCGACCCGCGTTCGAGCTAAGTCCAGCTCCGTACGGCACCTGGTGCATCTCGGCGGCGAGTCACCTCCTCCACCCCCACCACCACCTCCTCCTTCCTTTTCCCTCGGCCTCCTGTTTTCCTTGTCGCCGATCTTCCGTCCCGTTCGCGATCGGTGGATCCGACTCGGTTTCACGCGATCGCCGATCACCGATCCGATCAGGCACCTTTCTAATACTACCGATTGATCCAATCGAATGGAGATGCAGCCCGATCCCGGCGTGCTCGTCGATTCTATTACTACGATCGAAGGGAACCCGATGGTCGGCGTGTTTGATGGGAATCCTGGCCTCTGGCCGGCGGTACAGGGACGAACGGTTACGCTTACAGGAACCTGTTGACAGGCTAAAGATCGACGATGACGATGACGACGACGGCGACGACGACGACGACAGGGAAGAGGCATTCTCGCCTAAACCCCCCATTACCAGCTACCCGGTGCCGCTGTATCAGGATCGATCTCACCCGCAAGATGGACCGCCGTAACCGGGTACACCCTATTCGCGTTCTCGGCCATTCGCGTTCTCGTTTTAACCGTCTTGCACGTCCACGGGTACGCGCCTTATCCTTCTTTCTTTGCCTTCTTCTTATTATTATTACAATATTTCCCTTCTTCTTTCACTCTTCCGTTTCCTTCGTTTCGTAACGTTTCCGTCTTTCTTATCCGCTTCTCTCACTTTACTCTTTTACTACGTTAACACCTCGTCAAATTATCCTATGCGTTTTACTAAGTACGATCGGAGTAAGATGACAATTTAGCCGTGCGATCGGGATTATTCAACTCGTAGAGATCGCGTTTGACTCCGATCGGTTTCGATACAAACGACTAGGGTCTCCTCGACTTTCTTGGACACTTTCTACGCGTACCTAATATCTCACTACGACTAAGATCTTCGGAATGATGCACCATTTAAAAGCCTGGCACGGCTACACGAGTAACAAGGGGCATTCGTGCCGAACCGATCCTTTCCTCGACAGGATGGATCCCCCTGTGTCTGTGTGCGTGTGTACGTTTCTCTAGCTTTCTTTTTATCGGCTTTCAACACAGCTTCTAACCGTTCAGTGTAACCGCGATCCTCGACGCGACTTCTCGACGTTCACGAGCCATTGCGGAACTATCGATCTACCCGCGTACATCCTTCTCGATCTATCGGATGCGGCACGGCTAAGCTGAAAGGCCCGTTTCGCTTATACAAGGGGTGGAAAATATGATCAACCGTAACTGTCCGTTCCTCGCGCGTCTTTCTAATTGTCGCGTGTTTTTCTCCTTTCTCTTGTTTCGCCTCGTCGATATCATTCACGATAACAACGAAACGCCAAAGGATCCCTATTACGAACGAAGCACGCTTGTCGGAGGCGCGCCGGACACTGAGGGGCATCCACCACCACTACCAATACCGATACCACCACCGCCGTACCATCACCGCCAGCAGCAGCAGCACCAGCACCACCGGCACCAGAAGCAGCCAGCAGCAGTAGCACAACCACCACCACCACTATCGCCACCGTAACCACCACCGACCAACGAAACACTATCCACCCACCCACCACGATATAGATACCGCAACAACCGGCTAAACTCCCCGATAACTTTATACAAGCGGTCCCCTATACCTTTACTTACCAACTTGCCTCCGTGCCTTTTCTCCTCTACCTCGATACACGGTACTTACATGTACACACATTAATACTCGAACCACGCCGTGGTCGCGTTCGTATCCTCTTTCTTACGTTCTTCCCTTTCACACCACTTTCTGTACCTGCAACGGTACATCCTCCGGCTGACCGAATCCTTGGACCACGTGTTCCAACCCCAGCTGGAAAGTCGGCCTTTTCGAAAAATACGGTGTTAAACGTAGGGATAACGTAGATAACGGAAGGGTGGGAGAGAGGAGCAAGAAGCACGGACCTCGAAGAGTCACCACGTGGCTCACGCGTGGTACCGTGCGCTACGTGTATCCTTCCGTTTCGCTCTTCCGTTGAATTGTTCAACCTCCATGGTTGTTCTACGAAATGCGAGTTTTCTTAAATTTAAACTTCGATCTCGAGGTATTTCGTAGACCATAGTTCGATATCAAAGAATGGAGCTAAAGAGCTTCAAAGGATGACTCGAACGTTGAAACGATGGAGGATTTTCTTTGCCATTTGCTTTTCTTTCTTTCGATCGACGAATGTAACTGATAATCGTCGTGTCAATAGCGGCTGTAACTTGAACGGTTCGCATGTAGACGGTGTAGAAAAGCAGCAGAATAGATTGAAAGAAAGATAGAAAGAGAAGCTAGCTAGCTGTAAGCATATTGATCAGAAGACGGTAGTTGGCCTCATGCCACGTGGTGATGCTGCGAGAGGCGCCGGTCTTTTCTCCTATTATGAGCCAAGGTTTCTATCTCCTTTCCTTACTTTCTTCTAGAATCGTTCGTTTCTTCGTCGTAATCTTTCCTAAAATCTCTCCCACTTCTTTCTATTCTCTCTCTTTCTGTCTCGGGTAACGTACACGCATACAGAGACGCGGGCTACCCCGCGCACTCCACCCCTTTCTGTTTCTTGCTTTTCCATCGTTTCCATCGTTCTCCTACGTTCCTCCTTACGCGTCAACCGGGTTACCGAAACGCTTGTAATCGTTTCTACCGAAAAAAGGAACCGAAACGATCGAGACCGTCTACGATTTCTACCCGATCCCTGATCCCTCGGCATCCGCATCGAAAGGATAACTTCGGGATCGCTTAAATTAAGACGTCAGGTTAATGAGCTAACCCGCGTCGTTCAGGTGTAAAAGGTTGCTGCACCCTCTCCGTTCCTTTCTTCTCCTTACTCGCCTTCTTTCCGCTCTACCTCCGCCGCGATGTTCCCGTATCTGTGTGCGTGGTACCGACATCGCTAACCTTGAATAAAGGAGAGATTGAAAAAAAGGGAGAAAAGGAGCAATGTTCACGTTATACGAGCGAGACCAGATAGAAAGGGGAACCGCCTTCTTGGGTGGCTACAGGTTCCGCGATTGAGGCTCTACCGCCTCGCAAACGCGCTCGATCCTCCATCGCTTCGCTTTTACGTTTCGTTTCTTTTGCCGACTCCGAGGCGTCGATAAGAACGTCCCTCGTACAACTCGCCACATTACCAACGAAGAAATTGCAATTTCGTACGCGACTTCCGTTTATCGTCCACGGAAAACGTGGAGCACAGGGGTCGTGTTGCTATTCTATCGACGGTCGCGAACCACATTCGTTTATTACAGGTAGCAACGATCGATCGTTGCAATTTTCTCACCTCGTAAAATACGGTAACTGAAATTACCCGGCTATATAAAGAGCGTCTGCTTTATCCACGGCTGAGAAACAGTCTCTGCTTTATCGAAAGTCGAGGCTAGCCTGTGTTATCCTGGGATAGGATCGATCGGAGGTGTTGAAAAAATAGCGATCGAAGCGGGATCGTACGATTTTTTCGAACGGTGGGTGTATCCGTTCGTCTAGACTCTAGATGGAGGAAAACTTTTTTAACGTGGGTTCTCGTTGTTATTGTTTATCGCTGTGCTGTGAATCGAGGGAGGCGACGATCAGACACGTAGTCTCGTCGAATATGAACGAAATAAGAATGCAGAATATATCGTAGGGGGGATGGGAGATGCGAAGGAGAGAATCGCGAGCTGGTTCGTGACGCGCGTCTGGGAGCATTCGAATTAGATTGATCTATCATTGTCTTGTCTGGCAGTCGTCTCGACCGTTGATTGCAACCGGAGCAAATATTATCTTCCTAGAACTGTCGTGATGTTGCCGATCGTATTTGCACCTCCCATCGATCATTCGGCTGCCATTTCTGATGCGCACGACGAAAACGAGACGCAACCCGCGGAAATTTCGTTTATTTCGTGAAAGTTTTTCGCGGTGGCAACGCGATAACCCGGTGAAGGGGAGGTACTATGTTGTCGGTGAGGCTCGTTTTCATGGCAGAAGGGAGACAGAGAGAGAAACGAGAGAAAAAAAGGAAGAGACCGAGAAGGGACAGAACGAAAGGAAACGAAAGAAAAATGAAGCGAAACGAAATGAAACAAAATGAAGCGAAACGAAACGAAACGAAATGAGGAGGGAAAGAAAAAGAAAAAGATGGAACGTGGTTCGAGACGGTTTGATCGAACGCGGATGTGCGTGCAGTCGGCGTCGGCGGCGGTCGACGATCACGAATCGGGGGAAAATTATAGGTACTCCTCTTTCGTAGGCTGTCGGTTCGATGCTATCTGTCTTCTCCTTCCGGGAATTTCGCGGCATAAATAGGAAACCGTGGTACGCGGGGTCTGCTGCGAGCCGTACGGGGCTGGTTACGACTACGGCTGGGGCAGCATTGGAAAACGCTAGGTAACAAGGAATATTCGGCACTCGCCACGATTTATTCACCCCTCGGCGACGAAAAAACTAGATTCCGAGCTGCACGAAAGCCTTTCATATCCTCCCGGTCGTGCAGACTTTTTACCCGTGCACACACGGTGCAAGCTTGATCGATATCGGCTCCGTCGTTCATTTCTTGTCTCTATGAACTTTGATCCACCGGCGCGTTTCCCTACGACCGCGACAATTTCTATTAAAGACACCGGCGTTATCTCGAATCACCGCGGTATAATTATACACGCGAAGAAAGTGTATCGGTGAAAGTCGCGGTATTCAAATAGAGTCGTAAGGAAAGAAGGAGAAAAGATAGAATAGCCAGGGATGGCGTAGGAATAGCGGAATGATCCCGGGTGAGCATTCAGGTTTCGGTCGTTTGGGTGGCTGCCTGGCTGCCCGTGTTACCCGATGCCCCCTTCACCTTCACTGCACATATAAGGGCTGCCAGTCCCACGCACGAACCAGCGAAAAAACTGCATACGCATACGATAACGGGGGTGCGTGCCTGAGGGCTATCCTTATGGGGCTTGGGGAGGCCATACAACACTTTAGTAACCCCGTAATACCTCCCCTTTCAGGCAGCCAACTAGCCTCCGAGTATAAAGTAGCCAGCCACTGCGCCTCCTCTCTCTTGGCCCGTGTATACCGAGATTAAAAGGCTGCTGAGGGACTCGCGTCGAAAGGGATCCCACCTATCTCGGAACGGATATCTGACTATTTATCGAGTGCTACTCGGAGGAGGTCCCTCTATTGTTCGAACGTAACGACGTTGGAATTTTCAGACAATCTCGATCGAGTCGAGTGTCACTCGGCTTTCTCCATCGAGGACCGTAAGGACTGCGTTTGCCCTCCCTTTGCCCCGTACCGCCACGAACACGACTCGAGTCGAGTCAACTCAACTCGTTCCAGTCCGATCGAATGCGTGCTTCGTTGCCTACGTGTAATCGCGCGAAACTGAAGCAAACCGAGAACCACCTCGGTTATTCTACTTTCTATCGATCCTTTCGAACAGGAAGTTCGACGTCGAACCCAGGACGTTTTACTTCGTTCAGGCGGTTTAACAAATGTCGTTCGCGAATGATGGATCTAGAGATCGAAGGGCGGGACGAGTCTTCTGAAAATTTCCGAATTCCTTCCGTCGACGTGCACGGACGATAGCGCGAACGAACGTTCCGGAGCTAAACGCAGAGCGCTAGAAATACACCGTAAGCCGTAAGTTAATTCAAGTGCATCGCCTTCGCTGTCGCTACGTAGATATCGTACGCTCTTTTCGCGAGCACCCTCGTCGAACGAAAATCTCCCAGCCCCGCCTCGTTTCTCCTCGACGTTGAATACCTTCGAGGATTCCTCACCCTCCGTCTCCCCGGTTCGTTTCCGTTTCGAATTCTCGACCAGAGGCACTGCCGGAAGAGCGCTGCGTTTACCAAACTTTTTCGGTATCTCTGCTCTGTCTGCTGAAAGTTGAAAAAAAGAAAGAAGAAGAAGAAAAAAAAAAGAGAGAAAAGGTCGCGCATCCCCTTTTATCGTTCGGAAGCATCCCTCCGTCGTGTTGGTGGCGCGCTCCTTCGGTGCTTCAACCCTTTGCGAAAAGTCGCAAGGTTGATGTACCCTGACGCTGGAGAGAAGGCACCACTTCATTCGAGACACTAGAACAACGAACGAACCCCAACGTTTCTCCTGGAAAGCTCGAGTATCCTTCTCCAAATACCGTATCGCATTCCTTCCGAGTTTACTTTAACGAGTTTAAACTTTTAAACGTACCGTTGTTGTCGAAAAACTTCGTTCCTACCGGCGGTTAAATGGCTAGAATCGAATAGTCAGTAAACGATAGAAAGGCTGACATTAATTATCTTCTATCGTACGCCTTTGAAACCGCTCACTCGTAAAATGCAAATTCACTTAATAGCTATGGCTCCGTTCATTTAAGTCGGCTCATTAAACGAATCGTAAAACGTACCCGGCCAACTACCATTGCCACTATGCCATTTGTAATGATAATCGCAGAGTGCCAATGGCTGACGAAAAATCGGCGAATCGGCAGGAGATGCACCTTTAGAGGAGTGGGAGGAATGGAGGGATACGAATGGTAGATCGAACGGAAGGGGACTGTCGTGTCGAGCGATAGTTGTTCGAAATTAACGATCTAAATACAAACGCTACTGTGAGAGACAATCGCGCCTTGTTCCGAGTGCGAGATTATTAAGACACGGTCTCGTCGCGACGCGTCGCGTCGTGCCGTGTCGAGAGTACATGCCGTCTGCACGGATTGATGGTCAGGCCAGTGGCATCGAAAGCTCGTTGCCATTCGTCCGAATGCACAACTTGTACTCGCGATTACTCAATCGCATCGTGAAAGCAACCGCCGACGTTGATTATATTATCTTCGTCTCTCTTCTCGAATTCATTCGCGCTTAAAGTCGATAGGCGTCGTCCGTTGAAACTCGAACGATTAATTTTTATAAAAACCTTGAAACGGTTAAACGGAATACGTTTATAGTCGACTTGAACGTCGACGTCAACCGGGATTTTCGCGTTTCTCTTTGGACGAAAGGGGAGCAGTAACCCGACCGTCGGCAAGGACGAGTGCTTGTCGCGGCGTCGAAGAAAAACAATAAAACGAGAATTGGCACGTCTGGCGAAACAGTTGACTGCCGTAAAGTCAACTGGCTGACTTTGTCCACTTGTGCATCCGAGGATCGCGTTATGAGCAACATCTCGACGGTGCATTTTCTCACTTTGTTCTCCCTAATGCGAAGCCAGTTTCGCCCGGCACCGTCGAACCGCGCTTATTTCGTCGTACTCCATGCTCCGATCCTTAATCGGCACGAAAACAAAGGAACGATGATAAATTAAAGAACGAAGAGATCGTGTAAACTCTTCTTGTTTGCCAGCTCTTTCCGCTCGTTTTTCGGTAAACATGACCGATAACATTGACAATGATTCGGCCCACTGACGAAAAGAACAGTCGGTCAGACGAATGCTCGGTGCATTCGTCAGAGATAGAAGCCGGTCGTTACGAATGCCTAAAAATCCATTTTTTTTCTCACTCGCGATTACCGCTTTAACCTTTCGACGGAAAATCGCGTCGGTCGCGATTGCTTCTTGCGTCTCGCGTGAACAACTTGTGCGAGAGCGAAGAAAGCTCCTTCTATATTGGGTCACCGAGCGTGGTATTAATACAAACGAGATAAAAAAGCACATACACGCGTACTTTCTCAACAGAGATCTCTTTCACCGCGGAAGCGAGTGTTACGAAAAACAGATTCTTCCTCATTTTTTTTATTTTTAACATTTTTTCGACCTTCAGTTATCGAGTGACTTTCAGTTGCACCGATTGCACTTGCATCGAACGGATGCAATCCGGGAAAAGGTAGGCGAATATCGTTGTACGCTCGGTGATACGTGAATTGCGTTTCAATTATTTCTGCTCATTGTTATCATCAACTTTTACGTACAATTCACTTACATCGGTGTTTATTATCCGTGCGAAGGCCGTCCTGTGTTGGCAAAATTCTTTCCTCGTTCGTATTCGGATTCGCAAAACCGATTTAGATACCGCGCCTCCCCCGCAAGTACCGTTGACATTATTTTAACCGAAGTAGCTCTAAATTGATCGGGGATGTGTTTCGGGAAAAATCGAAGATCCCGGCATTTTTCAGATTAAAAAAATACTTCAATGAAACGTTTCAAACAAACAAGAATCGAACGGAGAAATGATACTCGGGCTCGTTTAACTTTGACCTTAAGATATTGATTAAAAATATCGATATCATAAAACATTTGTTCGTTGCGAAGAAATAGCGGATATGCAGCGTAAACGAACCACTGGCTTTGTACTTTGTCGTATCAATTTTACGTAAGTATTCTGCGTGGGCCTGTCCTCTTTTCGTGTTTGTGAAATTCTGGCAAGTTTAACGCAGTAACGAAAGTTTATCGCGGTAAATGGTCACCGTGAACCTCGTTACGATTAGACAGGGAAGAAATCAGGAAAAGTGGCGTGCAATTAAACAATACGTATTAATGAAAAACAATTGAAATATCAGGATGGATATTTCTTGTGTCGAACTTATCTAGAGGGGCGAATAAATCGACACACTTTTCATCGAAAAAACCATTTATTTCAGCGAATAAATATCCTATGAATACTTTCTACCTAGGAAGTACACATTTGTGTGTATGTATATGTTTTGTATGTGTTCGTATGTGGTGGTGTACATCTGTGTATAAGTATGCAATATTCGCCGCCCTTGTCTGGATACTGGAAGTACACAATTCCGTTACTTATTTTTTTTTTCATTTTTTTTTTTTTTTCTTATCTTTTTAATTATAGGTACATTGAAAAAGAAAGAAAACAAACAAACGGAGAACAGAAGATAGAAAAAGATAGATAGAACAATTAATGTACCAATTTTTTTTTTTTCACGAAATTACAAAGAGAGACGATACCGTTGGACGTTGAAACAATAAATATCGTGTATCTTTGCGCCACCGTTTTTGTCGGTAATACAAGGTTGAAAATTGATTGTGAAATTTCGTGGAAATGAATAATAAAATAAGAGGAAATTATTTTTGTCTCCGTAAGGATTACGATAGATTGTCGTACACGTTTACGGAGTGAAAAGGAAGGAGGAAAGTAAGTAATAAACAGCGGTATGTTCTTCCGATCGGCGTACATTAGAGCCAAGCAGCTAGATATCACAACGACACTACCATAATTTACCGAATCGCAAAACGACGCGGTTTGATAAAACATCGTCGAACCTTGTCAATTCTAAAGTGTACTTTTCGATCGCGTCGAAAGTTACAAATTAGCCGCGATATAATGTGTCGTACACACGTAAATAATTAATTACCGTTGACGCGTTCGATCGACGTGGACAGTCTAACAAAGTATGCACAAGATAAATCGCGAATTACGTGTAACACGCTCGTCGATCGCGATACATACTATATTAATTGCTGTATACCGATTGCCGTCAACAAGTATAGATACTTAAAGATACACGTTTATCCGTATAAGTGAAACCCTCGCGAATCTTTCGCGAAAGATTCGGAAAGATTGGCTGAAAAGCTTGGACACGACGTTATTTACACAGAGCTTCGTACACATTTTCCTATGCGTGCAATCACACGGTTTCTTAAAAAAGAAAAAATAGAAAAAAAAAAAAAACGAAAGGGAAAAGGAGGGAAAAGTAGGCGCATCTAGTGCGAGCGTATGGGGGATCAGGGAATCGGAGGGGTAAAATGTGAAAGAAGTGAAAAAGGAAAGCGGCTAAGAATGGATGGAGGAAAGTGGGGAACACATGGGGGGTTGGAGAGGAAAAAGAAATAACGATTCACTGTACACCGAGATCTCGTAGCCAACACGTTTCCACCGATCAGCGACGACTACCAAAAACGAATCGTGATTCCGTATTCTCGCGTTTTGGGAAGGCATCGATGTGCGAAGGGAAGATTACGATAAAAAACGTTTGCTTCATCAGTTTTGCGCGATTCGTAAAAAATTCTAACTCGGTAAAGATCGATTGTCAAAAAACGGTATCCGAGAAACTCGATGCGATAGGTTCCCATATAAAAAATAGGTTCTTCCGCGGTCGTTCTCTAAGATCAGGTGCAAACGCATCGACAATCTTAATGATAATACCGTGACTCTAGGAACTATCCGCCTTACCATGGACCTATAAACGACTTTCGATATGCCTTGCTACTATTACTAGCCGGAAGTATGGACGTTTGTCCGTCCATATTTTATGTATTTCATCCAAACTTCCGTATCATTGTCCATTGCATTCTTTTTCATTTATCTCGTCGGCGTTTCCCGTCGGTAAATGAGCGAAATGCGTAAACTAACCAACTCGCGGCACTGAAACACCTGCGAACACCCGAAACAAGGCACTTTTAGTCGATCGAACGAGAGGGATCGTCGAGGATCGCGCAACGACGTCGCAGAGCAACACCTTTCTTTCTTTTCCCCTCGGAAATTATAAACGGGTGTACACCGGTGTATATGCGATGAGAAAAGTATAGTAAAGTTGAGAAAATAAAATAATGGAGAATAGAGAAGAGAAGCTTGTATGTCCTTGGCATATTCCTCGGCGTCGTTGCTCTTCTCGTACCAGAAGCTGGACTATGAGCATCCGCATCTCTCGACGACCATGCCTGGTAAACGCGAGAACACGATCTGGTACTCGTTGTCGAAGTACAGCATCGTGATCTCGGAGAGTTTCCTCGGTGCGCAACACGGACCGGAGTTATTAGGAGGTTCCGCCAGGCTGACGATGTGGGTGTTCGGATAGGCTGGCAGAAAGGCCATCGGACAGTCGCCCGAACAATAATTGGCGTCGTACCTGAGACAGATGGAAAAATATCGCGACGCGTATAGTGAAACCCGTGCGAACGGCGTAATAAATGGATACTTACTTCTTGGGCGCGATTATCCAATCCCAGCCGAACTTCTCGAAATCCACGGTGAGCTTGTAACGGCAACACCTGGTTTCTTGGCTTGCCTCGTCGCAATTAAGTCCCACGTTTCTCTTGATCCTGGCTCCCCTTCTCGAGTCGAGTTCTTGCGTCTGTACTTCGAGGTAAGGCGCGTATTCGGCGGCAGGATTGGTCTCGACCAATTTCGAGTTCCTACGGTGATTGCCACCGGGGCCGGATATCTTGAGCGCCACCCCTAGATTGTCGCGCGGGTGTTTGAACCATTCGGCGACCATTCTCCTCAGCTCGATCGTCACCCAGTTACCCTTGCGACCGATCGGTCGAGGGTGTTTGGTGGTCAAAGGTGGTCCCAAAGTGGCTCCACCGTTTTCGCTACCACCGCGAAGAATCCTTTGCAAGGTGATCGTCACAGGACCACCATCGTCCTCGCGACCCTCCCCGCTGTCCGAGTCGGTCGGCTCGTCCATCTCCGAAACGTCCTGCTCCTCCACTCCCCATATCCACAGCGACAACTCGGCCCTCGTCACCCGATGCTGCACCACTTTGTCGGAGAACTTGAAATAAAGAACGTCCAGGCTGCCCTTCGAGTGCCTTAGCCTCTGATCTGGAACCAAGAGATCGTTGCCAACGATTCGTTAAACGAACGCGAGATCCGTTAAATCGACGAATGGAAGACGGAAGGAGCGAGAATCGATTCCGAACAAGGTTTCACCGAGGATGATCGAGCACGATGGTTAATCAAGCACCCGTTCCCGTACTCCACGATTGGCAATAAATCAAGAACAACCAGGAGAAAAGCAACCGCGGAGTTTCTTGCTACTGTCCGAGAAGTACGAAGACCTCGGTTCAACCGGCGCACGTGCGTCCGACATTTGCAACGAGAACCTCGGCGACATACGCGATCGCTAGCAACCACGTTCCTCGTCGCGATCAAACAGAGGTAGATGGAAAAAGGAAAAATAACGTTAGTCGCGGCTCTATTCGGGTCATCCGCTGGTCGAGACCGCTTCCATGAAGGGTAAAGTAACCTCAAATCGTACCGTTACGCCAGACTACGTTTTTCCTTTGACGATCAATCGGCGACCTTCTCTACCGTACCGATACCTCTGCCACCGTTTAATCCATCTTCTAACCCGGACTCGTTCTGGTATTCGACTGGATTCGAGTTCGCTTCCCTATTTTTTTTTTTTTTTTTTTTTCCTTCTCCTCGCGACACCGATTGCCTCGAGATAGAGACGCGATCATCGGGCGATCTGGGTGCTGTTTTACGCGAGAGCAAAGGTGACGTTATTGCACCGCGTACCCCGGTGCATGGCGTGGCATGCGACAGCTAATTGTCGCTCGCGCCCGTTCCAGGGAAGTTTCTCGTTTAATTATTACGCTCGGCAGCGCGTCACACGCGACGATCGTTTGTTCGAGTTCGAGCCCCGGGTATCGTTATCGCTGTCACTGTCATACTCCATGTCGTATGTACGTCTGATTTCCGGCGACGTTACGAGATAATTACTTATCGGTGAATTCCCCTTCCTCTCGCGGTCGCATCTACTTTCGATCCCGCGTCTTCTATTCTCACCCCGTCCCGACGGATTCCCACGTTTTACGCTCTGTCAAGGAGACGAGCAATTACCGTTTCCAGCAGCAATCCGTCCGTCCAACGCGAGAGAGACCCTCTTTAAATCGATTTATCGCCGGTAATTGCGCGCCGCGTCGATGGAATATCGCGTCGGTCGCCTTCTGACATCCAACGTCGAGACGTCTTTTCCGTCTCGTCGTCTGATTCCATCTAGCTAGCTGAGGTAACTCGATTTCACACCACCCGTACGTTCGAGTAATTTATACCTAATGTTCCTTCCGATCGAACGCATCAAGCCTGCTCCGCGTCGGGACGAACGAAACGAGAGGCGTCAGGAAATTTCGACCTACCGAGAGGAGTGGATATTCTTTGTTGTTTACGGGTCAGACGCGACGATGAGTCAGGCGGTGTGTCGAAAAGTCGTGGATGGGAAAGAGCGGCGAGACAGAAGAATGGCAATTTTATTTTCGTCCAGACCCGGTGACTACCCACCGTCTGGCGCAAACGAGACCTTTAAAGCTACATTTAACGCCGTCGCGCGCGCTTTTTCGATGCACCCTCTCACCGTTTCTTCCAAAAACACGCGCGATACTCGGGGAATTCGCGGCCTCGAAAGGGAAGTTCGATCGTTTCGAGGAAAAAGCAGGCGAACCGATGCTGTACAAGGGATAAATTGCGCGAACGGAGGCGAAAGGGTGAAAAAATGAAACAAGAGGAACCGAAAATCCAGGAGGAGTCGGAGGAGATGGAACGAGCGAAGAGAAAAGGGGATGAGAGACAACAAAGCTAAAGCAGCAAGTACACATCGTGCTTCGGAGCTTGAGATAAATATAGTTTTAGCAAACGGAGGTCACTCGCATTGCTCGGCTATACTACACACGCGTTTTCTAGTTTCTTACACCGTAAGTCGCGTTACTTTCGTTGGAAATAACCTGATCGATCGATCGATACGAGAATTTTCTCAGACGTTTTAAAGTGAGGAGATGCCGAGAGAGAAAAGCCGGCTCGGTTGGAATTTCTATCTCGCGTGGAATGCGAGAAATATAAGGGAAAGCGAAGAGAAGAGACAAGTTCGAACGAGTGGAAATGATGGAAAACAACGGTGATACCGCGGTGTCGTGGCCCTGCCTATAAATAAATGAAGAAATAATTGATACTGCACGAGCTTCTCCGGTCCCCTCGCAAACCGCCGCTCCTATCCTCCATGCACTTTTCACCGCTATCGTTCGGTTCTTTCACTCTTCGCCGCAGTCAGCCATCGTTCTAAGGGCGACGACGTTTAAAAATATCACGCGACAAATGGTTTAGCGGCGGCTACGTTGGTGGACCCAACTAAACGAGACTACGTCCAACTGGTCGAAATTTAATACCGAAATCACCGCGGATCCGGTACAGGTGTATTCGCGCGATCGAATCACGATTTCGTCGATCGCTAAGGATATCCTCTCGAGTACCAACGAAAGGTACCTTGATTACGAAAAAGAATATTCGTAGGTGAGAATCGCGTGCTCACCGCGTCTTTCGTGTTCAACTCGTTTCGCATGAACGTTCGAATCCTAGTGGTCAAGCAGGGAGCGAGTAAAATCAACGAAACTGCGGTTTCCGTGCGACTTACGAACGGTCGTTACGACACCCGGACTACAATACAATCGGCGATTGGATCGATGATAAGTTTTAATTTCTCCTGGTACAAGAAAATTCCTCCGATAGCCCGACCAATCTACAAGCAGTTATCGTATTTCCGGTAGCGGTTTCAACGAAAGGGCGGCCTTTTATTCCGCGGAAAGATCGCTCCGTACGCGTAAGGGTGGGTAACGGCTAGGGCTGCCGTTCACCTGCCGGGGCGGACGTAAAAACAACCGCCCTCGAGTAATTTCCATCGCGTGACGAAGCCGCCCTGCAATTGCGACTGCACTTCGACAGCATAACAGCGTAACTCGATAAAATTCGCATTTGGGTCACGCGCCTTCTCTCTCCCTCTCTCTCTCATCCTCCCAACCTCCCTCATCCACACCAACCTTACGAATACCCGTCTACCACACACCGTTATCTTAACGCCATGCTTCCATCCATCCTTTCTTCCTTTCTTTTATTTCATTTCATTTTCTCGAAAACACCCTAGCGAGTACCTCCTGGCTAAAGTATATCGCGTGCGCGTCCGACAAACTCCTGAAGGGGGGCACCCCTTTTCAAACGCGGCAGGACACGGGATAGAAGTAACGCACGGGAACGCCTCTTCCCTCGTTCGATCGATCGTTCTTTCGCTCGATATTGTAATAAAAGGAAAATTTCGATTCGTTAACGAGGGGAGAAACGGTTCCCCGTTTCGAGATGAAATCAGAATCCGCGTTAGGTAGCGGTAACGCGACACCCGTTCGACGCCGATCTAATATTGTAAGCACACGTCTAACCAACGATAATACCCATCGAATTGTTATGTAACCCTAGTAGTCCTTAAATGCGAGCAGTCGCGGTGCAACGTTGCACCGATATCCGTCGCGCTCGCGCGAACGTTTTAATACTCGCGGAGAGAACCGGGAACACGACAAACTGGTTCTCTGGATCCACGTTACCACCCGATCGATTCGATAATACGCGGACGGATCTATTCGGCACGATCGTCGAACTAGATCGTCGATGAAATATCGAATCGATACCGAAACCGTTCCTTTCGTCCACGGTTTTGACGGTTCAATTTTACGCGCCGCATTACGATCAGTACGATACTCGAAATAGACAGATGCGATAGATGAGTTCGAAGGAAATACCGTTGACACACCTTCTTGAAACGAATCTCGACAAAGTGGACCGATTGAGAATCACTGTTAAGCATGGCGCCTGTCTGCGATGCTGACCGCAGTATCACCGTCTCTACTGTCATTATACAACGGCTAATAGATCCGTGTTTGAATATATTAATCGGGATTAATGTCAGCTGGATAGCCGCGTTTATTCGTCGAATCGGAGTGTCGAAAAAAATGCGAGGGTTCTAACAGCGGCCTGACAAACTCGGAACGCCAGTTTAACGCGATAATGAGCGATGGGCCTGACCTAGGCTATGGCATCGACCGTGACCTTCCCAACGGATCGAGCAGCCTGGTTCACCGTTCTCCAGCTACGAAAAGAAACTTTCGAACGGAACGTATTCGTCTCGCTACCTAAACGGCGATGACGCGATCTTCGTGGATTCCTTTCACGAACGATCGGTTGCGATTTATCTCGCGAAGCTTTCTGGCAACGCAGTTTGCCGATGCAATTAACCGTTTATCGTTGTCGCTACGTTTCGCAAAAAGAAAACAAACAGCAACGCAAAAAGTGATTCCGTTGGAATCGCGGGGTATGGGAAATCCGTTTCGATAGAGAGACAGCGCTAAATCGATGTTTGGCGGTTCGCGTAAAAGAAAGACGGTGATCGATCGCGATCGCTCGAGGAACGGACGGGCAAGAAGTCGCGGTAGATCGAAGGGAGATCGAGAGGAATTCGATCGGTTGAAAAGCGCGGAAACGCTGGCGATTAAAGAAAGAAAATTGGGTGAACGGAAGAGATGGAATGCGGTCGTTCCGCGGCAGACGAGGAAAGAACGAACGAGACGATAGGGGAATTCGAAGAGGAGCACACACGAACATGGTAAAAGAGGACGGGTTGGTAGGGAGGGACTCGGTGGAAGATGAAGCTGGAAAGAAAAAAGGAATAAGATTGCACGAATACCAGAGATGATCCTGCAACGGCTTTCAGACGTTCCAGAAGAGCGATATAGGTCGCCCGAAGCGATAACCCTCTACGAATTCGATAGTATTTCTTCCTCGACTTCTTCGATTATTATTCTTTCGACCGGAATCCGTAGGTAGCTTCGAGAGTAGCCACGTTTCCCGCCGATCGGCTACTACGTACGTGTACGCGAAATCGGGGGAGAAGACGATACCGTGCAGTTATCGGTTATTTATCCTTTCTTAATGAACTCGTTCCGCCCGCTAATCTTACCGATAACCAGACCACGGACATAACTTTCGAAACTTGGACAGTTTTAACTGTCATTATCGCGGTCGTAATAAATTTCAACCGTTTCGTTCGAGATTCGAATCGAAACAGATCAACGTACATACTTAGGTACATTTATTCGCGTGATATATTTCGAATCGAGCTCGTCGAGAAATTCCAAAAGTGACCGAGCGGCACAGTAATTTCCATCGCGATTGATACACAAACGATCGGTTACGAGTGATCGCGGAGAAATTCCCTCCTATAATTACGCGAACGCTGCTAAAGATACATCGAGCGGTAATAAATCGTTGATACGTATCCTTGATCACGCGATCCGACAGGGCGTTTAACGTACGATCAAATAATCAGTCGCGTACCGTGTCTTGTCAACCGGTGATCAGAGATAAACAGGGTATTCAAGTTAACATCGTTGGCGAAACGATCGGTTTCCAGCGATTCGATCGAACAGTTGATTTTCCTCGGCAGCTAGCTCTTGATTTCTTGAATACGAGGACGGTTAAGCACAGATTAACGCCCGGTACGTGACTATTACAGAGTCGTTTGCGTTTAAACCGTCGATGATGAGCCTGCCCGAAAGATCGTAACTTTTCCCTAACATCCTCGATTCTCCTGCTCCTACGTTTTAGATTCGTTTTTGCATCGATCATGCATAAAGCGGGTTGGCTCTTTTTACGGTATTCGTCGCCTACCGGTTTCCCGACGATCGACAACGCGATGAAAGACCGACTCGTCTCGGCTCGGCTCGACTCGACTCGGTCCAACTTTTTGAAGAAGGTGCCCTGTTGCTCGAAGCAATTACGCTCGAGACGCGGAGCTTATAGGTGGTCCGGTAATAGGGGCCATTATCGTTGCTTCGCGACCAACTAGTCCTCGAAGCCTGAAGGCAAGATCGAATTTCAAATCGATGCCGTTGCGTTAGAACCCGCACGAAGGAGCGATGAAGCCCGGAATATTTTTCAGCCCGACGAAAGGGTTCGAACGAGACGCGAATTTTCGAGCGAGCAGCGACGCGGCCCCGCCGACTTAGCCACCCTTCCACGCGTCGACTCCATTTTTCCTCGAGAAAAATCGTGTAACCTTGTTACCAGTTTAACTAGCGTCAATAGAGACAATGTAACGAACAATTTATATAATTATTGTTTCAATTTGATCGGGCTATCGTTTGCAACCGAGTGCGTATCAATTGAAAGGACAATGTTGCAAAGTGCGGTGTAACGATCACGTCGGGCACCGCCGGGTTGGAAAGGTTAATTCGGCTAGTGTTGCCAAGGAAAAACATGGCAGCTGCAACGTAAGAAGTTTTATCGTTCAGATTACAAGTTGCATCTCATTGCAAAATGCATATTCCATCGGGGACGCGTTCTCGTCTCATCCCTTAACTTAGCTTCGATTCTAGCCGGAAGAGGGAAAAATAAACGAACTCGGGGGGTTAATAAGGATAACTTGCGATTGGAAACTTACGAGGTTGCGCCAGAGCGAAAACACTCTCCGTCTTGGCAGCGTATTCGTCGATCTCCTCGTGGTGGGTGATACCGGGCTCGAGGGGTTGAGGTTGATCCGCCTGCATCTCGTACATTTCCATCAGCTTCGAAATCGGCGGGATCCTCGGCAATGCTCTACCCGTCATGTTCGGCGCTTGTTTCAAGCCAAGCTTGTTCAATATCTGTTCTTTGATCGCTTCGAGGCTGAGCGCACGTATCTCTTCGTGCATTCTGCAAGCGTTACAGGTGTTACCGGCCATCACCAGGTATCTGACACGAGCTCTTTCAATGCCGGGAGCATCGAAGGCACCGAGGAGGAACAGCGAGAGTAGTAGCAACGCCCCCCTGACCATCTTGCTCAAGGTCACCCTTTAGTTGGATCAGTTACGATGGGCCTTCCTCGCCGAACCAACTATCAGATACTCGACTTCATCATCCTTGCACCTTGTCAATTTTTTCCTTCGGCTCTTACTTTTCTCCCTGGTCCTCTTCTTCTTCTTCTTCTTCTTACGATACTACTCTTACTTCTACTTCTTCTTCTTACGATACTACTCTTACTTCTACTTCTTCTTTCTTCTCTACTTCCTCTTTTACTTGTACTTTGTTCGTAATCTTTATTTTTTTTATCTCGCGCGGATTAGAAATTCGTACGCTTCGGTTGCTTTTACTTCCTCTTCTTTTTCCTCTTCCTCCACTTCCACCTCCGCCACCGCCACCACCGCCGCCACCACCACTACCACCACCACCACCCCCACCTTCACCTCCACCTCCACCTTCACCTCCTCTTCCTTTTCCTCTTCCTCTTCCTCTTCTTCTGCTACTTCTTCTTCCTCTTCTTCTTTTTCTTTTTCCACTTCCAACTCCACCTCCTCCTCCTCCGCCTCCTCCGCCTCCTCCTGCTCGTCGTCGTGATCGTCGTCGTCGTCGTCGTCGTCGTCGTCTTTGTCGTCGTCGTTGCTGTCGTTGTTTTCCTTCTCCTCCTTCTCCTCCGCTTCCTCCCCCTCCGGCTCCGTCTCCACTTTCACCTCCTTCTCCTCCACTTTCTTCGTTTTCTTTAACTCCAACTTTTCCTCCTTTTCCGCAGTCCGCTTCCGCGACGTGTGCTTCTTCTTCCGTGATTTATCCGGCCACGTTACACCTTTGACTTTGCGAAATTTCACGGTACCCTTTTCGAGAAGATTCCTTCGGCAACCAACGCGCCGCTCCTCCTCGCTTCCGTCAGCCGATGCATCACCGACGCAAGGCGAACAGCCTCGGCAACGATCGCGATCTACGTGATCCAGTTTCGTTCTATTCTTTTCTTCGATCCGTGTAGCCGCGAACCTTTCCGCGATCGTTTTCCACGTTCGACCGGCAAGAAAACGATCGTTAGATCGATAGAAAAACGAAATCGATTCTTCCACTTATGGTTTCGTTCAGTTACTTTTTAGTTTCACTACCGTACCTTCACGGAGAACACAAAAGAGATCGTTTCCTTCAATTGTCACACACTAAAAGCACCAGGATCGATACATTGAAAAATCACATTTCACTGGTGGGATCGATCGGGATCGGTTTCCCTCGCGGGATAAAAGCCTCCTATATCCTCGCGAACTTTCAGCGCGAACTTTAATTCAAACGTGTGCGCGCTAGCGATACGCCACTCTATGTTTAACGATGCAACGCGCATCTTGTTGAACCTGTGACAAACATCGCGTTGCCCCGTGAAAAATGTTTCTTTTATCACAGTTCACCTTCCTCTTCCTCGTTTGCCTCCTTCTATATATTCGAGCGGACTTCGAGGGACCACCGGTGGTCCGAGTGAGATCGATTCGCGAATGTTTAACGATTCGATCGGCGCGATTCGCCGTTGTGACGATTAAGAAGAGAGTGAAAGATACGAGCCCGAAGGGAAGAGATCGTACTAGGATAACGCGAAGGAGAAAAACGACACAGATAAGAAGAAGCGTTTACGCGCGTGGCAGTGGCAGGCAGCTGGTGAAACAAGCCGTGTTGCCGTTCAAACAACTCCACGGGATCCTAAGAGCTTGCTGGCTTGTCAAGCACTGAGTCAGGAGGCGCGCGTTCTCACCGCATATATGTCGACGCGGAGGCCTCCTTCTCTTCTTCTCTCCTTCTACTCGTTCCTCTCTCTTTCTCTATCTCTCCTTCTCCCCCTCTCTTCTATCTCTCTTCATCGTTCTCGTTCAATTTCCATCCTCGTTATTCCCGTGCACGTATCGTATCTTTCCTCGTCTCTTCTCTCCTGTAGGTAATCTTACGCATTCGCATGTACCAGCCGAACGGTGTACTCTATATGTACTCGCTTGCACCCGCTGCCACCTAGATCCACATCTTCTGTTTCTCTTTCACCGCCCGCCACCTTTACCAATTCTTCCACCTTCTTCCTCACCTCCAGCATCGCCTTCGTGACCGCAACCGCAACCGCTACCTGCCACCACCATCACGATCACCATCGTCGTCGTCCGTCGTCGTCGTCGTCGACGACGTTCCCTTCCACCACCTCCTCGTCGTCTCTTCCATCTCGTCTTTCTTCTTTACCAAGCTCCTCGCCCTCTTCGCTGTCAGTTTTGCCTCCTCCGCCTCCCTGTTCTTGCAGCCGCCTTAATCCCCCCGCTACCCCCAACCTGCCATGCCGTTCCCCCTTCGGCCACGCGGTCCATCCATCCCCCCCTTCCCTCCATCACGCCGCCCTCCGAAGCATCGTCCATTGCCGCCATACTATCTCTCTTCTTCCGACTATCTCCCGCCCTCCTAATTTACCTTTACCCCTTTCCATTTCTCTCTCTCTAGTCACCTATGCTACGTTCACCCCTTCTCTTCATACCTCCGCTCGGTTACGTACGGTAAATCGTGAAATCATTTTTACCGGGCATAGATTTTTCAAAGAATCCATCGGTAAAAAGCGAGATCGTCGAAAGGAACTCCGTTCCCCCATTGCTCGTCGAAGGTCCGCGATTGCGAAAATGAAATTAATGCGCGAAATGTCAAGGTCCTCGAAAGGAGGAGAATTCGAGCGAAGAGAAGCAACGCGGTTCGAGCGAGTTTAACATAAGGGATGATTTAAAATTCGACGAGGACTTTCGTGCATACAATGTTTGCAATTTCTGCACGGGCCATGGATCGATCGAATTTTGATGTCGACCGATTCGATGCCACCGCCGATCAGCCGGCTACGATAGCGAACCGGAGGTTGAACAGAATGAGAAAAAAAAAAAATCAGAGATGCAAGAAGGGAAGAACCGCAGGTGGGCAGGAAGGAGGGTAGAGAAGAGGAACGAGGGGAATAGAGATCCCGGAGATAGGGCATCGATAGTCCGTTCGTTTTTCGCAACATTTAAAATCGAAATCGACTTTCAAAACGATTCAAATCATTCACCGATCGGCACAAGATGCACACTACGTAACGCATTACAAAACAGTGAAATCGGCTATTTCTGTACAACGACGTAGATATACATTTCGATCGACAAAGGAAACGTTTCTAGATCGAGGCTCTCAGCACTTTGAATCCTCGCTGAAATATAATTCGGTCGTTAGGATTATTCCGGCTTTGCGACATTGTAGCAGAGTCGAGCGACGATCGGTGCATGCTTGAAGAAGAAAAAGAAAAAAGAATGAAGAGAGAGAGTAGAAATCGAGGAAATTGGAGCGACCAACTGTGCGAGGGTGTCAGACGATCCTCCACATGTTTCATCCAGCCCCCACGCGTCGCTGGCCATGAGCCGTCGCGATCGGTGGTCGAGAGCGCAGCCCCGTTGCACTTGCATCTGCATCACCATCAACACCAGGTGGCTCCAAAAAAAATGATCATCCGTTTACTTTTTTCCCCATAATATTTTTTTTCTCTCTTTTCGTATCGCGTTTACGAGCTACTATACACCATCGTTCGCTCTGAAAATCCCTCTTTCCTGATTTCTTAATTTTCTTGGTTTGAAACTAAGTTAATGAGAAGTTAACGAGCGCTGTTTAATTAACGCGATTTACCGCGTGCGCCTGAAACGTAGGACAAATTCTGCTTGGATAGTAAAACTACTGATTTCCAAATTACCGATTGTTAATTACTCGTCGCGTTTGTTCGAACCCCTTCGATGATCGAAATCGTCGCGCGTCGTTCTCTAATTGATCGAACCATGCGAACAGTTGGCAATTTACTTGGATACCACTTTGTTTCCTGTCTAGCCATTTCATGGTAGAAAACGAGGAACATCGCCTGGTTACATCGATTCCTTTCGTAACTAATTAATTTAGAGTCTACAGCGTAGACCGTACGAGGAATCTGACCAATTTTCCGTGTACCACCCACACACGATCCGGTCAAAATACTCGTATGATTCATTCGTCTAGACATGGATAAGTATAGTAGCATTGGGGGAAAAAGGGGGTTGACGAGAGGGAAAAGAAAATAGTCGGCTGGTGCGTGCACCGTAATAAAGGCGTTTCTTCGCCGAAAATGCAGAACGATTTACCGAAATGCGGGACCATCGACCGACCAGACAGACCACTACCAATGGACAGACTCACGCACTGCTCGTTCTAACCACGCTCGTTTATTCCCTCACCTCTGATCGTTATTATTCTGGTATGCCAATTATCGCCATTCGAAATTCATTTCTTCTCATCCTCGAATCAAAGTGTCTTTGTTCATTTGAATTTCTATAGGAAACGAAAGAAAAACGGCTGAAAATCAATGGGTAATGGAAAGGAAAATGGAAAATGAAACCAATAATCGTTATTTAATCATTTCTTTATTTGATTTAAACGCGCGTCATCAATAAACTCGAGATCGTTGAGTGATTATCTGTTCGATCGAAACAATCATTGATCGATTTTCTTACATATTCTTTCATTCTCTATTCGTCGGCAAAATGAATTGGGAACCACTCGAACATGGAATTATACAACGGTCGGAAAGAATCGCTTTCCTCTTATCCACTATTACGCGTTCGATGTTGCTCGAACGATGTAAATTGTAAATGTAAAAGAAAGATTCATGGCACATCGTTTAACAAACACCGTATCGATTAAGTTGTACTTACATCGAAGAACGAGCTAAACTGGGCCGACTAACTTATTCGTCCCGATAAAACTTTCGATCTCGCCGGTTCTCGACGGTTATACATGTAAGCGCGAAGGATCGCTATCGACATTCTATTTATACAAAATAATTACTTAAATTATACGACAAATTCAGTTAATATTTAATACGTTGTGTACAATCGGTGACGTACTTTCTAGCCGGCAAAAATAAGGAAAAGCTTTCTCGCAGGCTCGTACGGCGAACTTTTTACGCGACAGAAGCACATTGAAAAATATTCTTAACGCTGAACGGTACCGGTGTCGTAGCGGAAAC